AACCAATCACAAATCAAAACGATGTTAAATGACCGAATAAGAAGAAAAAGATTGAGGGGCCAAAGTGTAAAAAACTCTAGAAACCCAACAAAGAACACCGTTAGAGTTGTGTTTCTTCTCATGAGTTACAGTGAAACAATGAGCTTTTAAGTTTGAATATATTTCTAAATAAAAAATATTTTAAAAAGTAAAATGTTTGAAAAGATAACTACAACGATGAATAACGTAGCGAGATTATAGAATAACAAAAATGAAAAGGATAACGAGGAGGAAAAATGTTGATCCTCACATCTCTTGAATAAGGCGTCACTTTCATCATAAATACAAGAGAAAAATGGAAATGAAAGGGAGCTGTGAGATCTGTTAAAGGAACAGTAGTAAATAATTTTTTGAATGGCAGAGTTTGTTTATTTTTGTGTTTTAAAAATAATTAATTTTTTTTAAAAATAAAATTTTCTTAATGTTTTCATATTTTTTTGATGTATTTATATAAAAAATATTTTTTAAAAAATAAAAAAATATTATTTGAATATATTTCTAAATAAAAAATATTTTAAAAAGTAACTACTATTATATTCCGAGATAAAACATAAGTTAAGATCTAGAATATGTATTATTACCAAGGAAAAAGAAGAAGATATATCTAGAGTCTGTTTGATATTGTGATAAGAGTGATGGTTTAAAATGCTTTTTGCTTAGAAATGTATCAAAATAAATTTTTTTATTTTAAAAAATTATTTTTAATATTAGCGCATTAAAAAAATCAAAAAACACAAAAGAATTTTATTTTACAATTTTTTTTTTATTTTTTTTAAAATACAATTTAAATCATATTTCCAAAAACTCCCTTATCCTCGATCTCTCAGCCAAATTCTTAAATAAAAACTTTCATGCTAGTAAACCCTTCCTTAAAATTTATGACTTTAAAATTATAAAGTACGAGTACCTATTTATCTTAAAATAACAACATTTCTATGATAAAAACTTCAATGGTCAAGGTAATGGGGTAATATTTGACAAATGAAGTACTCATTTCAAGATTGTTTTTGTTCGGGGACCTAATTAAAAATCATGTGATTTTCAGGAGACAAACTTTCCTGATAATAATTAATATAGTCTAAATACCTCGAACATTAAAAAAACATACACCCACAAATCAAGTACACGCAAAATAAACATCAATATTCAAAAAGGTTGAGACCAAGATATAATTTCTGAATTTATAGGGACTAATCTGTTCATTTATTAAGAGAATAGTGACTGAGCTATAATTTACTCACCCGAGAGTAAAAAAATCTACAAAAAACTTCCCAGAAAAGACAGCAGATGCGGCCCAGTCGTCGAAGGGAACTAAACTCCAAACTCCTAGCTATAAAATCTTTGCATGAAAAAGGAAATCAGCCCTTCACCACAAAAAATAATAATAATAAAATACTCTAATAAGTAGCAATACCCTAGAAAAAAACAAAAAAAAAAGAAAAAGAAATAGAGCGAGCCAGAGCATTCCTTAAAGAGACACAGAACCACCCCAGCCCAAGCCTAGGGGCAAAAAAAAAAAAAAATCTCAATCGGAGAATCCAAAAGGGATAAAAAGGAGTTGGAGAGTGAAAGACCTGTCAATCAATCAATCCTCTTCAGTGGGCGGCATACCATACGATAGGTATATCTCTCTGTTTCTAACTTCTATGGACTCTGAATTTTGTTCACTGTTGTTTTGCCGCGAATTCTGTAACTTTGTCATTATTTTGTTTTATATACAGGTTTAGTAATGGCAGCTACAGCTACCTCAAGTTCTGTAGTGATGATGAACGTGCCTCAAACCCGTGCACCCCTTACTCCTCCTAAAGATGATACTCTCTCAAGGAAGAACCGGATAAACCTAATTCAGACTCGCCGTTTCCCTTTGATTCGATTCCACTCCAACCACCATCAATCTTGGAATTCCGTTTCCTCGAAAAGGTAATCAACCGTTTCGATCCATTTCTTGTTATGTGCTGTTGAGATTTTACACTTTGTTACGATTTCGAGGTATTTGATGATGATGAGTTTATGCTTATGAACATGTTTGCTTTGTTATCTTAAGAACAATCCTTTTCTTTTGTTTATGTATTTTTTAAGGTGGTCAAACGAGATTGCTACGGGTGGATCAGGCTCTCTTAGAAAGAAGAATAATGCTTGGAAACAATGTAGTTCGTTTCCCGGCGAGAGAGTGGTCGGGGCATCTTTTCCAGAACAATTTAAGTGCATGTCTTGCTCCCTTAACCGTCTTAGAAGCCGCTATAGCATCAAAGGATCTATACCAACTATACCGAGAGCCTTTGTTGATAAGTCTGCTTTTAATTTGTCTGGCCATTCACTTGATACTGCTTCTGTAAGTAAATTGCTCCCACACCGATTGTTGATGACCATCTGCCCTATTTTGAGGCATCAAAATGTTTTGTTTTTCTCTTCTAGTTGAATGAAGAAGGCTGTATTAAAAGGTCCAAAACTAGGAAAATAAAGCGTCTTATTGCTTGGAAAAATAGAGCTCATTAGTTTCATTGAGTATAATTTATAGAAAACATTTAAGATCCCCCCAGAGTGGCACAAAAAGAAAACAAAATGCTGCTGTGTCCCACATCAGCTGCCTCTAAAAAAAGAGGTCTTTGAGAATTTTTGCTTGTTGAGAACTTATCAGTTTTTTAGATTTTTTTTGGAAAAGAAAGTTGTAGAAAATATGTTTATCAATCCAAATAAAAAATAGTTTTTTTTTCTGGAAATTGTGTTTTCTATGACACATTTGATATTTCTATCCTCCTAGTGTTCTATGGTGGGTTAGGCTTGGACGATTGAGGATTTTAGGGCTTGGATTAAAGAGAAATGAAAGTACAGTTTGTGTATCGAATTGGGAATGAATATAAAGTGCTACTAGCTTCATTCTCTTAGATTCTCTGGCAATCACACCTAGAAAGAGGAAAAAACCTAAGCATCACAACCAGGATTCTTAGAAATCACACCGAAAAGTGATTGCATAGCACAATCATGGAAGCATAATTGCTGGAAATTTAATCCATAAATTCTTCTTCTTCATATTGAAATATTACATAGCTAATGCCTTTATAAAGAGTTCCTAATACTCTTACTCCATAAGGACGTGAACTCCTAAACAATAAAAAATAAAAATTACAATACCTATCAGGTTCATCTTGCATTAGTTCCTAGGAAAGAAAATGAAAATAAGACTTTGCATCAGGCACTTGGTTCAGTGGCTTTATTCTTTTATACTATATCTATTAAAATTCAGTGGCATATGTATAAGTTAATTGATAAGAATTTAAAGGTTAATCCATCAAAAAAAAAAAAGAAAGAAAGAAAAAGAAAGAGAAGAGGAGAAAAGCAAGCAATTCGAGCTGGCTTGGATTGGTACAAATCTATTTGGGGAAGTTCATGCCATGTTTAAGCTTACTGTAATTGTTCTTTAGATTAGCTCTTAGCCAACAATCATAAGCTTTCACCTGCTCAATTGGAGCATAGGTTTTGCTTGGTGCTCTTGCTGTTACTAGAGTGCATTCACTGTTATCTTAATGATTTGTTGTAGTCTTTTTACGCTAATGATGTATGCATGTTCTTCTGGATGGCTGATTGTTGTCTGCATAATTTCCAGGTGAAGCATGTTCATGTCCCATGTACATCGATGGGTCCTAATGAGCCACATGCAGCAAGTATAGGCTGCCCAGATGGTATTCTTGAGAGACAAGATTCTGATTTATTAGATTCGGAATTAGAAAGGGCAAGACTATTTGAGTTTTTGCACTCTGAACTTCCATGTCACCCAAAGTTGCACAGAGGGCAACTGAAAAATGGACTCCGTTATCTTATTCTACCAAATAAAGTTCCACCAAACAGGTATAGTTCATGCACTCCTGTCTGGTTTATGCTTTTCATTGTGTTTGCAAGGCATGCCACTTTAAGATTTCTAAATACTTATGGTTGTTTTAAAAGATGGTGACTGCATGATAGTAGATGCTTGATCTATAGTTCATTCAAAAAACTTATATTCACTTCTTATAGCAGCATAAAGTATCATTAGACATTCCATTACATTTTATTTACCGTATGTCCTTATGAAATGATGTGTGAGAGGATCTGATGGTGACATTTGGGGCATGATTCAGAGGCGAACTCCTCAACACATCAAGGAAAAGATAAACCATAAATAAAAATTCATAATAAATAAAATAACTTAGTGCTCTTCCTCATAAGCATTGAACAATAAGCATCTTTTTTATAAAAATAACTCTTCCATAACATTAATTTAGGAAATAATCTTCTATCAGTGTCATATTAAAGATTATTTTCCATATCAATAGGTAATTCCAAGGCTTTGTGCTTTTTGAGGAATTGGTTTGCTCCATGTATGCTTGACCATAGATGCTTGTCTAAAGTTCTCCATATGTTCATTCTCCTGTGGCACATGATGCTGACATCTAACTTATTGTCCGAACCTTTTCTTCAAATTAGATGTGATTGGCGTTTGGTGTTTTACTTGTGGAAATCTAATGGATTAAAAATGTGAAATATGTTACCATGTCCAACAAAAACTTATACTATAGCTATACATTAACTTCATTATCTCACAAGGGCAAAGCTAACGTTACAAGGAGCGTAAGGTAAAGCATATTGAATTCATGACTATGTTGAAGTATATAGTAGTTACAGCGTTATGATACTATATTAGTTCAGTGAATTTCACTTTAGCTTACCAAATGATATTGGAACTTATTACTGAATATTAGATTCTTGTTGCACAAAAGATGTGTAGTAGGGACTTTTTTCCCCTCGCATTCTAAATCTAGAGAGGCTTGAAATCTTTTCTTGTTGTTCATACCCCAAGTTTTTTTTCTTTTTGGTTTCCATCTAGTGAGTTATATATAGAAAGAGAGGATACTATCCATAATTGAGGCTTTTAATTTAGAAGGTGATACTTGGTGTGGTCAATACTCACTGTTTGTTCTCTCATATACAAAACTAATTTTCAATTTGTTAGGTTTGAGGCACACATGGAAGTTCATGCAGGATCAATAGATGAGGAAGATGATGAGCAAGGAATCGCACATATGATTGAACATGTTGCATTCCTTGGAAGTAAGAAACGCGAGAAACTTCTTGGAACAGGTGCTCGATCTAATGCTTACACTGATTTCCACCATACAGTTTTCCACATTCATTCACCAACTAGTACAAAGGTTTGTCACATTTCTCAAATTTTGCTTACACTAACACTTGATTTAATTAATGGTTTTGATTTGGGTTCTTGACACTTTTGAAGTTCCAGTTGTTTCCCTTCACTCTGTCTTGTGTTTTTCACATGATATATATTTTTTTATCTGTTTTTTTTCCTTGCAGCACTATGCTAACTTTTGATAGGTTCAAGAAAGTAAACAACTAGAGTTTGAAGATAAATAATTCTATGCCATGATGGATTAATATGAAAAAATAAAATCCATCTAGAGATTCAATCTGCTTATATAGCGCAAAAAGAAAAAGAAAAGTTAAAATGATATAAGGCACTGACTACAAATGCAAAGATGGTTTATACCAGAGTTGATATCTTATATACACTACAAAGCAAGGATTACAACTACAAAACAAGGAATATATGCGTGCATGAGACACTGCACAACAGTCATGTATACATACAAGAAATTTTAACAGCAAGCACAAACTTGTGCGTGCATTTGCAGATTTGCTTCATCTGATTCTTACCGAGTTGCTCTGTTAATATATTTTGCATCTGCTGGAATGAAAAAGGACTTCAGAACATGCACCCAATGTATCAAACGAAAGTTATTTTTGCACATTGAAAACAACTCTAAATCTTATTGTTCAATTTATCCTTTGCATGGCATAGCGCGCATTAAGCATTTGATGAAGTTACAAAAGCAAACAAAAAATGTACTTTGGATAAGTTTCATTAATTTTGTGGTATGCTTGAATTCTAGTGGAGTTGCAAAGAGTTATGTAGACCCAATATGCATACATGTGATGCTATAAAAATTAGTATCCACACAACATGTTGAGAGGATTAAGGAGATATATTAGCATGTCTTGTGATACAATATCTTCCTATGTGCCTATTGTAATTGTATTCTTGTAGCATAAACTACCTTATCTTTATGTCTTGGTTTCTTTTGCTTGCTTCTTAAACTAGTACTTTTTTACTAAATTCCAACATTTGATATTTATTGATGCAAATGGTGCTTACCAGGATGCTGCTGGAGATCTACTCCCCTCTGTGCTGGATGCCTTGAATGAGGTACAGATAAAGAAATTGCTCGTGTATTTGAGATGCTTCCCTTAGTTTGGTAAAAATATATTTGTCAAGATGACAAATGTTTGCTATCATGATGGCTTGTGGAATAAAGATGTGATGATTTGTGTTTTTATTTAACGTGTTTGTTTCATTGAACAGATAGCTTTCCACCCAAGTTTCCTTGCTTCTCGGGTTGAAAAGGAAAGGCGCGCTATACTTTCAGAACTACAAATGATGAATACTATAGAATATCGTGTTGACTGCCAGGTACAGACTCAATGGTGCCTATATGTTGAACTAGTTAATGTTTGAATATTTCTGCTTATTATTGATGTTTGATGATTTTATTTTAAATGTAGCTGTTACAACATCTACATTCAGAAAACAAGCTTAGCAAAAGGTTCCCAATTGGACTGGAAGAGCAGATTAAGAAGTGGGATGCAGATAAAATTAGGAAATTTCATGAGCGTTGGTACTTCCCGGCAAATGCAACTCTATACATTGTTGGCGACATTGATAACATTTCAAAGACAGTTCACCAGATTGAAGTACGCCCAAAACTTTGTTGATCGTAATTTTTAGTAGTTAAATAGTGTCTGGCTTAGTAACTTAGGTATCTTTCTTGAAAAAAGGACTATAATTACTTCTTGCTATGCAGAATGTCTTTGGACAAACTGGTCTGGAAACTGAGACAGTTTCTGCTCCTTCTCCAAGTGCATTTGGTGCAATGGCTAGTTTTCTTGTTCCTAAACTCTCAGTTGGGCTCCCTGGAAGTTCATCCCGTGAAAAATCATCTAGATCTCTTGACCAATCTAAAATCATTAAAAAGGAAAGGCATGTGGTTCGTCCTCCTGTGGAGCATTATTGGTCTCTCCCTGGAAGCAATGCAAATTTGAAGCCACCACAGATATTTCAGCACGAGTTTCTTCAGAATTTCTCAATTAATATGTTCTGCAAGGTATGAACAATAAGAGTAGCGCCATCATTATGCAGTGTGCTGGTTTTTGTGCTGATGTTCTCATTTTATTTTATCCTCCTATTTATAGGGGTGATGATTACTTTTGCTTACATCTCACCACATTCTAACTTCAGTAAAAAGCATCATTTTATCTGCATAATACTGTTTCTGCCATCATGCACAAATTGTGATGCCAAACAGTAAAATTGAAGAGTTGTTGGCTGTAGAGAATCTAGTCCAAATTAATACTCGAGATTCTAGTGACTGGGAAAGGGAATCTTGGCAGATAGTGAATCTATTGAGTTGTGTTTCTTTTTTGTTGTTTAATATATATTACCTTTGATGTTAGAAGAATGGCCAGACTTTTAACAAGGAAGGACTTCATTTGCATTGATTTGATGCTTTACTCGAGACAGTGCTATGACTGGATCAATTTTTCATCATTTAAGAAACTCATTCGACTGTATGTTTTGATTTGAAGTTTTAATATTAGGCTTGTTAAGTTGAATCTTAGGTCCCCTTTTTAAGTTTTAACATTTCATTTGGAATGTTTTTGAAGGAATGAATTGAATTCTACAAAATGGCAGTCTGAGTTGAAATAAAGACTTTCCATGTTACTTTTAATAGATTAGAAACAAAAAAAAAGAAAAAAAAAAGTGTATGTTCTGAATTTTGTAATAGGCCACTTTAAGTCAACTCATGAGTAACTAATCACATGAAAGTCAATTCAAATTGATTCTCATGGGAACTCTTTTTGCAATTTGTTTCATGATTTTGATTCCAAGCTGGGTTTTGTAAAAATACTTACCCCAACAGACAATTGCTGACCTATAAAGAACAAAGTTCACTGTGAACATGTATAAAATCTTCAACACCAAAAGATATATAATCTTTGAATTTTTTTTTCAAGGTCTTACAGCCTGAGTTTGTTTCATGAGTTTTTCTTTTCAGTAGCAAATGGCATCACTCTTGAAATTTGTCTCTTGATGGTTTCTAACTCCCCTTTGATAACCCAAGTATATATGTATTAGTGTTGTGGAATTGCCACTTATTGTTGATTTCTTACTTTTGAATGGCGAGACCCCCCTGAAGCACTGACACTAGCAAGGCACGCCATGGATTTATGGCTGTTATAGAGAACTACCTGTCAACTCCTCACAGGGGACACAAACTCAAGATTCTATTCATTCATACACGTGTCATATTTCAAACTGATGCATGATATATGGATAACGTTCTCTGTAATGCTGTTTGAAAGGGTAGTATTGTTTTCACATCTTAGGCAAAGGAAAAAAATAATTGGTTACTAATTACCTAGTCTTCCCATGCTATTGTTTCTGTAACCCTTAACCGCTTTTCATGGTATGCTGTGTTGAAGAACATTTTTGTGTTCCCATAAACATAAAAACATGAATATTTTCTCTGGTTTCCTTAATATAATCTAAGAGCTTCCCCAAATCTGGTTTGTCTTAAACACTTACAGATAAATGCATTAAATTCTTTATCTGCATGAAGAAATGTTTCTCCTGATAGTCGTGCCTAGTATTTTATGTTCTACATACAGAAATATTAGCCTTTGGAAAGTGGGTTTAATTCCTTGTTTTTTTTTCGGTTTGGGATTGACATCATTCTGTGGATTTTTCTGCAGATTCCGGTGAGCAAGGTCCAAACATATGGTGACTTGCGTAATGTTTTGATGAAGAGAATTTTTCTATCTGCACTGCACTTCCGGATTAATACAAGATACAAGGTTTGTGCTTGTTATATTATATTTTAAGCCTTTTGTTGTGCTTGTTTCTTCTGTTTCCTATCCTATTCTTTGCCATTTAATCTATGATTGGTTTGGCCTTTAATTAATTTCTCCATAAATATCAGTTTTAATTTATTTTGTCGCGTTATTTCCTTGTTTGTTTGGGCACTGCCTTTTAACGGCTTTTAAATGGGAGTTTAAAAATTGAAAATGAGTTTGGCTCCTTGCAAACACAGATTATGAATGGTGATGGTTTTATTGTTGACAATGCTTAAAGTTCTGATTATTGATCATGAATTTAGCTATACTTTCGCCTCAATGGGCAGCATGAAAGTCTCTGCAAATTTATCAATTAAAATTTGAACCCCAAAAAAAAGATGGAAGTTGGCAAATTGTCTATACCAGGCTGAATTCTGTTCATATAGGTCCACATCACCTAGTTTGATTAGCCCTCCAAAAGTTTTTTTTTTAATTTTTCAAAATTTTCAGAGTTCAAATCCACCATTCACTTCAGTTGAATTGGATCATAGTGATTCTGGAAGGGAAGGATGCACTGTCACAACTCTTACAGTAACTGCAGAACCCAAGAATTGGCAAAATGCAATTAAAGTTGCTGTTCAAGAGGTTCGTATCTTTCTGTTCATACTGTCCTCACGCTTCATTATATAGCTAATGCAATTTCATTTAATATTTTTTTTCTATTTCCATTCTTCTTTTTGTTCCCCTTATTTGCTAAATGCAGAACCGGCATTCTTTTGTTTGATAAGATTACATTAACAGATGCAACTATTAATAGTAGTCTTCAGTACGGAATGCATCTATTTGTGTATGTAAAAGATTCTAGAGACAGAAAGCACCGTGTCTTATTTGATACTGCTACTGATTCTCTTCAATTACATCCAGATCCCTTTCCTTTTCTTATTATTCGTTACAATATTTTATAGATTATGTTTAATGCAGGTTCGAAGGCTTAAAGAATTTGGTGTCACAAAAGGTGAATTAAATCGCTACATGGATGCTCTTCTAAAAGATAGCGAACATCTGGCAGCCATGATTGATAACGTGTCATCTGTTGATAATTTGGAATTTATTATGGAGAGTGATGCTCTTGGTCATACTGTGATGGATCAGAGACAGGGACATGAGAGTTTGTTTGCTGTTGCTGGAACAGTCACACTTGAAGAAGTAATTTTCACCCATAGTGACCCAACTATTATTGCCTGTTGTGCCACACAAGTAACATGAGTGTGCTCATAATCCAGGAAGCCATAACTTCATTCATTGTCATAAGAGCTTATATTTTTTGTTGACTCTTACTGTCATTTTTTATCCCTGCATCTTTTCAGCATGTAGCTTGAAATTGCTTTAGAACCACCATGCTATTATTGGTAAAGTGATTGATATGGAGCCATAGTTGGTATTGTGCCAAAATCCAATTTACTCGATAATTTTTCTAATGGTTTGATGCTTCACAAATTTTCCATTACCATTTATCAGATGCCTTGATTTCTCTTCTTCAACTTGAATTTGCATGTTGATGGGGTTTTCTAGGAGAAATATTTGTGGTTATGTTTGTTCTGAATGTGATATTTTCCTTTGGGTAGTAGATGCTTATTGAATGTAATGCTTGTTTGCATAGACTAGTGTGCTTTCTGAAGTTTTTGAAGTTGATAATGAGAATTGTTTTTTTATATACTCTTTTGTTTGTGAAATTTATTTTTTTTCATTACTTTTTCTAATTATCCTCTCTCTCTCATAGGTCAATTCTATTGGTGCCAAGTTATTAGAATTTATCTCTGATTTTGGAAAACCGACGGCACCAATTCCTGCAGCAATTGTTGCATGTGTTCCTTCAAAAGTGTATTTTGATGGATTGGGTGAAACTGAGTTCAAGATATCATCAAGTGAGATTATAGCTGCCATAAAATCAGGATTGGAGGAAGCAATTGAGGCTGAGCCAGAGGTGTCCCCATGGAACTTAGCATGCTTTATTCTTTCAACTATTATTTGTTTTTGGATTTTTATACATAAAGCCACTATTGAAATAAACTTCATTGGCAAGTTCTATTATTTGATTTTATGTGCAGCTTGAAGTGCCAAAGGAACTGCTAACTTCAACACAGTTAGAGGAGCTACGATTACGACTCAAGCCGTCCTTTGTCCCTTTAGTTCCAGATGCAGATTACACGAAATTGCACGACCCAGAAACGGGCATCACTCAGTGTCGTCTTTCAAATGGAATTGCTGTAAATTACAAGGTATCCTTGTGCATGTTTTTATTCAGTTGGTTGCTCCGTTAGGCTGATATGTTTTGATGTTTCTGTAATATGCAATTGGAATTGGGTTCCTATTGTGTTTCCAATTCCTAGCAATTATACAGTTAATCCCTAATAGCCATCTGTTGTTGTAGTGTAACAGTGTTTGTGGTATTTCATTTTGAAGACATGTTGTATTTCGAGTTTACTCTTCACTGCAAAGCAAAACAATATTTCTTGTCTGCTCCATTTTTCATCCTTATGTTTTGCAACTTGATGGAAGTATGATGATAAAAAACCTGATGGATATATAATGAGAATATGCTTAAATATATCACCAACAAATTCATTTGTAGTTTAAGCCCATGCTGTTGTACAGATATCCAAAAGTGAATCCCGAGGAGGTGTCATGCGGCTCATTGTGGGTGGGGGCCGAGCAGCTGAAAGTTCCGAGTCAAAAGGAGCAGTTGTTGTGGGTGTTCGAACTCTCAGTGAGGGTGGTCGTGTTGGCAACTTTTCAAGAGAACAGGTTAGTGTAGTATTATATGTTATGTTTCTTTTTAAAATCAAATATTACAAAGTTCTCCATTGTGCTGTTTAGGCTATTAATTCTGAAATGAATTATGAATGTAAATATCATTATTGCTAGTGGTGCTTTTCATTGATTTTCTATGATTAAAATTTTCAATTTTCATCCGAAAGATCTGCTGTACAAAACTCAGTTTAAATGGTAGCACAGGCTGGTTGTTTGAGACTTGGGGAAAGCTTGGACAATCTTTTTGCCAAAGGAAATTGAACAGTTATGGTCCTATTAGATTACGGACTTGGAATGGAGAATTTGGAGACAGCCTACCCTTTATTGTTTTTGATGTAGAGCGTGCACTTACAAGAGTTGAACACATACCTTTATTGTTGCAAAATTCCTCTAGACTTTTACATTGTAAAAGAGAAAAAAATTGAAACGGTGATGTGTGTATGAAATATGAACAGCTATGTGGAGAGATTGGGAAAATCATCAGGAAACTATGTAGCTGTTTAGATAGACATTTCAAGAAGATTATCCAAACCATAGAAAATAAAAAAATGAATGGTTGGGATTTAGAAACAACTGAACTTCAGGTGACAATGTTGCTCAGAGATGTTATCAGGTTACATATATACTCTATTTTCTAGAGAACAGATTTTTTTGAATTTTGGCGATCATTTTTATCAGTAAATTAGCTTTGATGAGGAATCATTTGCAGATGAGGTTTTGTTGCAGTTGTATATTTAATGATGAAGAATTTGGAGGGAAAACATATATTTAACGTGAATTGTGGATATAATATGCTTGCATTTAAGAAAATTAGAGTTTGTAAATTGGGGACAACAGACTAGGAAAGTTCATTATGAGTTTGAGAAATTAATATTCTAAAGATAGAATTGTGGTCAAAATCTTAATTTATTAGGTTTGAATGTGTAATGCATGATGGGTTTTCAATTTATAGAAATGCCACAACATTATGTTAAGTCAATTGCAAGTTTACATGCAATCATATTTTTTATGCATGTTGGGAAGTTTTCTCAGCTATTTATTTTATCCTTGTAACGGTGCAATATGCTTCTCCAGGTAGAACTTTTTTGTGTGAATCACCTGATAAATTGCTCTTTGGAGTCAACTGAGGAATTTATTTGTATGGAGTTCCGCTTTACTCTGCGAGACAATGGGATGCAAGCAGCATTTGAGTTACTTCATATGGTGCTTGAGGTAACCCAATCAACAACCAAAATATGCTAATCTGTAAATGTTTGGTGTTTCATTTTTAGGCATTGTTTGGTTGTTTTGGTTGCTTTTAATGGGTGCCACATTCTTGACTTCTGATACTGATATTTCGATACATGAAATTACTGAATCCCAGCATAGCGTTTGGCTGGATGATGCATTGGACAGAGCCAGGCAACTATACTTGTCATATTACCGGTCTATTCCCAAAAGCTTAGAACGTGCAACTGCTCACAAGCTCATGACAGCAATGTTGAATGGGGATGAGCGATTTATTGAGCCAACCCCACAATCATTACAAAATCTAACACTGAAATCCGTAGAGGATGCAGTGATGAATCAGTTTGTTGGTGGAAACATGGAGGTGTGTGATTATCTACTTGTTAACCCTGCATATCACATGTGGATACAAATATTTCATCATATAAAAATTGCATGCCTTAATTGTTCAGGTCAGTATTGTTGGGGATTTCTCGGAGGAGGAGGTTGAGTCTTGCATTATTGATTACCTGGGCACAGTTAGAGCAACAAGAGATTTTGATTGTGAACAAGAATTCAATCCTGTCATGTTTCGACCATCGCCATCTGATTTGCAGTTTCAACAAGTAAGGATCAAAACATTTTTTTTGACTTGAAAATTCTCACATTTGAGAATTAAAATGTCAGGAATCTTCCTGAAGATTATTGTTAGTAGGGTTGAAATGAGCTGAGCTTGCCAGCAACACTGCTTACTTAGCTTGTTTGTAAAACAAGGCTAGTTTTAGAATTAAGCCTGAACCAAACAAACATGGACTTGACCTGCTCAGCTTAAGAGCCTATCTATACAGATAAGAACCTCAATTCAGTCCTATCAATTCAGTCCTATGTTTTGACTTGTTGGAGATTAACAGCAAGTGAATTAAATAAGTTTTGTTGAGTTGCCCATGTCAGAGTTCCAAAATTGAGCTTGCAGAGGCTGGTCAATAAAACGTGCCAGTTGATGTGTGCTGAGCCTGTCCTTGAGCTGGCTTGTTGGAGCTCAATTTGAGCTTGAGCAAGTTTGAGCATTTAATCAATGTGACCGAGCTAGTCCTGCAAGCATGTAGTAATTGGCTCGGCTCGGCTCGGCTGAAGCCCTAACTTGTGCCAGATATCCTAGTTTGGTTTTTCTTTTTTAAGTTTATGGAAGTAACCTGTGTCATTTTATATTTATATGACAAGAGTTCCTAAAGTATGTCTCTTAAGTAGGTCTTTTTGAAGGATACTGATGAGAGAGCATGTGCATATATTGCTGGTCCTGCACCAAATCGTTGGGGTTTCACTGTTGATGGAAAAGACCTATTTGAGTCGATGAGTGGCATTTCAGTTACAGCTGGTGAGTTTTTGTTCTATAAGTAGAACTAATAAATTTGCTGCTTGTATTTTGATCCTTGGAAGCCGCCTTAAGAATTAGTAAATTTGCTTCTTGTAAGACTTCTCAAGAGTTGCAAGGGCATAATGGAATGAATTAAGAAATAAAAAAGGGAAGAACTGTGTTGCAAATGCTTGGATAAGTTGTTGTCAGGAAGGATGGGGATAGGAAAGTATTCCTTTATTCTTTGTGTTGTCATGCTTCAGGTGCTTTTAGGGGAGTTTCTTTAGCTGATATTCAGCG